AGTGCTCTAACCATAAGCCTGCTACAGCCCCCGCAGGAGGAACTGACATGCAGATCGAATTGATCAACATACAGGAGGGTTTGCGACGGGTGCAGTGCTTTCCCACACTCAGATCCGACGACGACGACCCTCCCACCCCAGGACGATGCACGCACACCGCGCCAGCATGGGCAAACTGCTGTGGCCTGCACTCTGACTTCGCGAACCACACCAGGTCCGCGTGCAGGGCAGATGTCTCACATATTCTGCAATGCCACCTCGCAGCCATACGTTCAAGATGGTGGTGCGACGAGGCGGTCAGGATCGCCTGCCTGCACGCTCTAGAGCCTCGGGGCTCGGCATTCGACTTGATGGGGTCGAGAGCCATGCAGTCGAGATTTGCACGGACAGCTCAACGCCGCACGAGGTGCGCCACCGCGTCAACCCAACACACGTCAGGCTTAGCGGTGGCTTTACTCAGCACCTCGGCGGCAGCTTGACCAGCAAAAACGTCGGCGCACTCATTTCGTGCAATCTGCCAGAGCTGGTACGGGGTTTCACCGCCCGTGAGTTCCTCTGCTTGAGGATGAGGAGGAGGAGAAAGAGAAGGAATACACAATCATATCAGTCATCTTACTACTCATAAGAATGGCAATGCTAGTATTAATAATTTGTACAATCAAATTATTTTAAAGTAGTAATGCGAATAGCAGCAATAATACGAATAATAATACTAATCAGGATTGTACTATTACTGATAATAATAATATGAGGAGGATGGGGGAGGAGGAGGAGGAGCATGAGGAGGAGCATGAGGAGGAGGAGGAGGAGGAGGAGGAGGAGGAGAAAAAGGAGGAGGAAGTGGAGGAGGAGGTAGGTAGAGGGCATAGTTCGAAGGGGGAAGGGGAGTATGGCCAGGATAGGGGGGGAGGGGGTGTAGCCGGGAAAAGGAGGATTCATGAGGCAGGGGGATGGGGGGGGAAGAGGCGGGGGATGCCAATTGTCTGGAAGCCCACGCTCCCGTCCCCCCGGGCGCCCGGCCGAGCAGCTGCAGTGGACAAGGAGGAGGAGGCGGAGGAGGAGGAGGAGGACAAAGAGGAGGAGGAGGAGGAGGAGGAGGAAGAGGAGGATGATGATGAGGAGGAGGAGAAGGCGGAGGAGGAGGAGGAGGAGCAGTAGGAGGAGGAGGTCGCGGAAGTGGCAGGTGAGTCGTGTGGTGTCTCGTTGGCGCCAATTGCTTTTGCCCGAATCGGTTTCTTGCGCGCTGCCTTCAGGACTTCCTCGCCCCCTGCTGCTGCTTGCTGGCCCGTCTGTGTCCTTTCCCTTCCTATCTGCAGAAGGAGGAGGAGGAGGACCAGAGTAAGCGCGGGATGCGTCAACAATGATGCAGCACACCGTCCCGTCCCAAGTCCCCTCTCGCAAGTCCATGCGAGCTTGTTTTTGCCTACAACAGTGAGGGACCTTGAAATTCAAATCGCATGCGTGGATTTGTATTTCAGGCGAGAGCCCCGTTTTGATAAGCACTAGCTCAGCATTGTAGCGAATCGCAAGACATGCGACACGGTGGATTCAGGAAGGTCGGAGAGGTGTCCAGCGAAAACGTAGTTTTGAGAAAGCGCCGCCCCGTACACGCTTACAGTTCAATCCAGTGCATCGGGGGATCTCTCAAGCGAGATCCCTGTCTTGACAAGCGGCGGCGCTGCATCCTTCGAGGAGATCAAAAGGCACGCGGGACGGTAAGCAAACGAAGTCGAGGGAGGTGTCTCGCGATAGTCCCGTGTCGAGATGGAGCCGGCCTCGACACGGTTACGGTTCTGGCCAGTGAGTCAGGTGATATTTCGAGCGAAAGCCTCGTTTCGAGAGGGACCCGCCCGTGTGAACAATAACTGCGACTGTGGCACGGTTGTAAGCCGAACGTGCGCGGCGCTGGAACGAGAGAGTATTTTTGGCAACGTGTGGCCCTCAGTCGCTGTAGCCGTTCCCGTCGCCCTCCCCGCCCCCCACCCGACAGCGAGGGCAAGTCGGCAGGGGCGCTGGGCATCGGCCTCGCCCTCGCCGCCCTGCCCCGTCGGCCACGGCCGGGCGCCGGCGGCGTCGGCGTCGTCGTCGGCATCGCCGTCGCCAGCATCATGGCCGTCGGAGTCGCCAGCGTCGCCGCCGGCGTCGCCGCCGCCCTCGCTGCCGGCGTCGCCGTCGCCGCCGCCGTCGGCGGCGGCGTCGCCACCGGCGTCGTCGCCACCGGCGTCGTCGGGCGTGCGCGCGGCAGCGGCTCCCAGACTGGAAGGGCAAGGAGCTGTGACGGCGGCCGCGGCCGGCCGCGGCGGCGGCTCTGCTGATCCAGGGCGGGCGCCTCGGCCCGCGCCCGCGGCGCCCGTGCCGCCGCCGCCGCCGTCTTCTTCTCTTGTCGTCTCTTCGTCGTTTCATCGTCGTTGTCGTCGTCGTCGTCGTCGCTGGAGGAGGAGGAGGAGGAGGAGGAGGAGGAGGAGGAGGAGGAGGGGGAAGGGGGAGGACGGGGAGAAGGAGGAGGAGGAGGAGGAGGAGGTGGAGGGAAGTTCTGTTTGCACGCAGATTCTTTATGAGGTTCAAGCGAGAATTTGAGGGGCCGGGGGTTTTCAACCAGTACTATTCTTGTCTGGGTTTCTAAGACAGTGGCTTGCCCACCGAGTTTCCGCCAACGTTCAAACCCGTGGGCTCCTCGTGAGCTCCTTGTGCCTCGGGAGTCTCCGCCGAGGTTTCGCCGCGTTCCTTCCTGCGGGCGCCCGTGGACGTCTCGTGGGCGTTCCGTGCCATGGGTGGGCAACACAGCTTGCACAACATAGCTTGCGCCGCATAGCTTGCACCTCAGAGCTTGCACGCCATGGTTCTCGCCACTGTCACAGCGCGTTAGCTTACACAACACATCTCACACCCCAGCTGTTACGACACAGCTTACGCCACGTGGCTGATTCCTCATATACAGATAGCACGACATATCTTACGCCACCTGGCTATCTCCACACAGCTTTCACGTCAACACGGTCCACGCTGGCTAGCATTCCTTGTAGATGAACTCTTCCTCGTTGCGCCGCCAGACGTGCCAGTGGAGCGGTCTGCGCGTTGCAAATTGTATTTTTGTTGACAGTTGTGATCCCAAAGTTTGACCATTCCAACACTTACACAGCTGGATTGCCGGCAGTGGTCAAACTGTGGCTGTCGCCGTAGCGCCGCACGTGTTCCTTGCAAGGGCTTCCAACAGATGCATGTTCGGAGGGCAGCTCCGGATCAACCTGGAGCCATCGTCTGGGACTTGCGCGCAACACGTGAGGGCCGAATTGCACATACAGAGCCCGAACTGATGTGCAGCAGTCAGCGAGGCTGGAGGGCGGCCTCTTCCCAACAGATGGGGTTCTCGCGTGACGCCTCCGCGCAACGCATGTGTGCAGCCCGGCGTGCAGCCTCTCTGCGTGCGTGCTGCCTGCGCGGTTGCAGGGCGGCCCGCCTTGAGAGCGGGACCCTCGCTCGACACTTCTCGGTCGAAACGAAACTTTCGGGTCCGATCGCTCAGCGTCGCTTCACCGACCCCCACCCCCATCCTCATTCCCCTTCGAGGCCCCCACCAAACGGTTTAAACAAAACTTTCTGGTCCGATCGCTCAGCGTCGCTTCACCGACCCCCACCCCAATCCTCATTCCCTTCGAGGCCCCCACCAAACGGTTTAAACAGAACTTTCGGGTCCGATCGCTCAGCGTCGCTTCACCGACCCCCACCCCCATCCTCATTCCCTTCGAGGCCCCCACCAAACGGTTTAAACAGAACTTTCGGATCCGATCGCTCAGCGTCGCTTCACCGACCCCCACCTCAATCCTCATTCCCTTCGAGGCCCACACCAAACGGTTTAAACAAACCTTTCTGGTCCGATCGCTCACTATCGCTTCACCGACCCCCACCCCCATCCTCATTCCCTTTGAGGCCCCCACCAAACGGTTTAAACACAATTTTCTGGTCCGATCGCTCAGTATCGTTTCACCGACCCCCACCCCCATCCTCATTCCCTTCGAGGCCCCCACCACATTGCCACCCCAGTTTGGGGTTTTGCACCCCTCGGAGCCCGAGGGGACCGGCCTGTATCCCCATCGAGGGGGGCAAGTCGGCCAGCGGGGCCCGGGCCACGCCGCTGGGGGTGGGGGTCGGAGAAACGATGCTCAGTCCAATCGCATTCGTCAGGGCATATTCTTTTTATGGACGCGGGGCTCTCGCTCTCATCGGCAGGCCCGCGTGGCGGCTGTTCTTCAGAGGGGGTGCTTTCCTCGCAGTGAGAAGGAAGGCCTGTAGGGACCAACGTGAATTCGGGCACGTCCCTCTACACAGGAGAAATATTCTCAAACGGGAAGAGAATAGTCTGGGGACGATTTGTCGACTGTTTTTGTCAATTTCTGTTTCTTCTCGGGCTGTTTTGATTTCCCTTCCGAAATCCGCCTGTAGGGGGACATGCCCGACCTAAGACTACCAAGACTACCGAGGCGGGGACTCGGCATGGGAGGGTGTATCGCAGCATCGTCCATGCGTCGTGGGTTTGCTCTGGTCCACCCTCCACCTCGCTCCTCCTCCTCCTCCTCCTGCTCTGGTCCTGCTCCTCCTCACTCCTCCTCGTTCCTCCTCGCTCCGGAGCAGGCCTCGAGCGCCGCGCCCAGTGCTTCTTACTCCTGTGGTGCGAGGCTCCCGGCTGGCGAAAGTGGCAGGGGGTGAACAAAAAAACCTCGAGCGCGTGGCAGGCGCGTTGAGGTTAAACATCATCATTCCTCACTCCCCCGATGCCTCCTCCCTCCTCTCCCTCACCCTGCTCCTCCCCTCCTGTTCGCCCCACCTCCCCCCCTCCCCCTCCTCCTGCCCCTCCGCGCCCCTCCCTCTCCTTCAAGCGGCGAGGAGCGAGCGAGCGAGAGAGCGCGCGATGTCGGTCCGGCGGGGCCGGCCCTTGTGGGCCAGCGCGGTGGGGCTGGAGCTCTCAGGAGTCGCTGAAGTCGGGCCTCAAGAGATCGGGGGCCCAAAAATAGTCACCACCACCACCTCCCTCCCCACCTCCCTCTCGCTGGAAAGAGGGGAGAGGAGGAATCGACGTGGTGGTGGTGGTGGTGTATATTCGTTGGGCCTCGAGAGACGGGGGTCCATGCAAACGGAGGTCAGCCAGAGCGCCGGACCCTGCAGGATCCTGCAGGGCCAGGGCTGCACCAGCCCAGGCCCGGAGGCAGGATCCCTCAGGATCCTGCAGATCCTGACTGACCTGGGTCTGGACTGACCCGGGTCAGCAGGTCCCCGATGAGGTCGGGAAGTGGGCGTCGACGGATGGCGGGCGCCGGCTGGCGGAGGCTGGGAGTTGGAGGCCGGTCTCAGGAGGAGAGGCAGAGAGGAGCTGGCAGTCGGAGCAGAACGAGGAAGAGGAGGAGGAGGAGGAGGGATTGTCGCAGCCCCAGGGCCGAGGAGGAGGAGGAGGAGGAGGAGGAGGAGGAGGAGGAGGAAGAGGAGGAGGAGGAGGAGGGGAGGAGGAAGAGAGGAGGAGGAGGAGGAGGGGAGGAGGCGGGATGGAGGAGGAGGAGGAGGGGAAGAGGAGGAGGAGGAGGAGGAGGAAGAGGAAGAGGGAAGAGGAGGAGGAAGAGGAAGAGGAAGAGGAGGAAGAGGAAGAGGAAGAGGAAAGAGGAAGAGGAAAAGGAGGAGGAGGAGGAGGAGGAGGAGGAGGGAGAGGAGCAGGAGGAGGAGGGGAGGAGGAGGAGGAGGGAGGGGAGGGAGGGAGGGGGAGGGGAGGGAGGGGGAGGGGAGGGGGGGAGGGAGGAGGAGGAGGAGGAGGAGGAGGAGGGAGGAGGAGGAAGGAGGAGGAGGAGGGAGGGCGGAGGAAGGTGGAGGAGGAGGGAGGGAGGGAGGGAGGGAGGGAGGAGGAGGAGGAGGAGGAGGAGGAGGAGGAGGAGGAGGAGGAGGAGGAGGAGGAGGAGGAGGAGGAGGAGGAGGGAGGAGGAGGAGGAGGAGGAGGAGGAGGAGGGAGGAGGAAGGTGGAGGAGGAGGGTACCCTCGAGGCCCACAGGCAAGGAAGGCAGAAGACCACCCGACCCACATGATTTTGGCGTGTCCTGAGCGGGCCGTGGGCGCTTACTGGACGGTCCTGCCCTGCTCGGTTTTTGCCTAGGGTGCGTCTGCTGAGCGCCTTCGCTCGTCGGGGTGCTCTTGCTTCGGCCACGCGCCGAGGGGGCTAATGGGGGAGGGGGGAAGGCTTCTTGGAAGCCCCCCTGCTTCCTGGAAGGGGGCTTCGTCTGCAGACGTGAGGGCAGCGCCTCCCAAGAAGCAGCCTCCTTCTAAGAGGCCTCCCCCCTCCCCTCACCCCCCTAATGATGGATCCGGGCCGCTTGCTGCACAGAGTGGTGGACATCCTGTGAGCCGGCATACGTTCCACAAGCCTGAATATTTTGGTGATCTTCCTTGTCGAGGCCACGGCCTCCACGCCATACCCTAAATTGGCACGGGCGGGCTCCCCGGAGGAGCGCGCACGACTCTGGCGCTTCGCTTCGCTTCGCCTCTGCGCGCCGCCAGTGAACGTCTTCGCTCGTCGGGGCGCTTGTTGTGGGGGTGTCTTCTTCTGCCGCTCCCTCCACACGGGGCCCCCAGGTCTCCGGAGTCGCGCGGGCAGCCAGGGGCCCTCTGGGCCAGGACCACCTCTGCACTCTCCTGGAAAACCACTGCAGCTTCTTGAGCAGGAGATCGACTACAGAATTGATTTACCCCAGCATTCAGTTTCTCGTCGAACCCATGAGAACAATGGGTAGACTAGTCCGAAGATCTACGGAGCACTGTAGCTATGCTTCGTAGATTCGGCAGGACATCAATTTTGGGGTACATCGATTCTGTAGTCGGCATCCCCTACTCGAACTCTTGCAAGTCTTGTCGAAGAATCGTCCCGGGAGGAGGAGGAGGAGGTGAAGGTGGAGGAGGAGGAGGAGGAGGAGGAGGAGGAGGAGGAGGAGGAGGAGGAGGAGGAGGGGGGAGGAGGAGGAGGAGGAGGAGGAGGGAGGAGGAGGGGGAGAGGAGGAGGGGGGAGGAGGAGGAGGAGGATGAGGAAGGAGGAGGAGGAGGAGGAGGGTCCCTGGGCGTTGGCTTTTATACCCCCGACCCGCTTCCTGACGGTCCTGCAGGGGCCCGAGGCCGAGAGGAGCGACGGAAAGAGCCGAAGCCGACGGCGACGGCAACAGACCGAACGAGGGCTGAAACTGCATCGTTTTTCCAGGGCGGGGTGGCTCCTCCTCCTCCTCCTCCTCCTCCTCCTCCTCCTCCTCCTCCTCGCCGAAGCCGAAGGCGACGGCAATAGACCGAACGAGGGCTGACATTGCATCGTTTTTCCAGGGCAGGTT